CTACTCGACGCTATTCAGATCTTACTTTTCAACTATATATTTCATTAATTTTTAAGAAAACCTATTAAAAATTTTATTCTTTTCCGAACCAATCTGGGGCGAAACGTTGAAAATGCATGAAATTTAAGTCCATCATGAGAAGTGCCGTGAAGATATTGAAGAAGTGAAATTTACACGGCAACATGTATTTAAAGATTACACCTCATAAATCAGGTATGAAGTTTATTTAATCAAAAATCAGGTATTATAAAATTTACCCACCACACCCCCACTTAATCCAATTTCATTCTAAACCTAAATCGTGATTGTGCATGTATTGAAATTTACAGTATAACAACGTGTAACGATGTAAAAAGTGGGAAAATTAATACGGGGATACCATGGTCGTCATCAGAGACTGGATGAGCTTGAAGCCACCGTCCTTAACGACGATGGAGATGGAAGTAGAGTAAGCATTGAGGGTGTTCTCGACCAGCTCTTTGATGGAGGAGACTGACTGTTGAACGACCTCACTGGGGGCAATTTTATTTACCTCATCTTGGTCGAGGCGGTGGATCCTCGATGGCTCCATTGGTATGGGCTCTTCGATCTCCAATTGAGCTGTGTCTATAGGCCATTCAATGGGAAAATTTTCTCAATCTTTTCTCTCTTCCTCTTTATCAAACACATCACCGGAGTACCACCGACGTGGCGTCAATTAGTGACGCGATGCCGTTCAGAGCGACTTGCTCTCAACGACGATTTTAGGGATGATGGCGCTGCATAGCGACGAGAGGCTTCAGTGATGATGCTGCCGTTTAGCGACGCCCAGCGACAACACGATATATGGACGGAGGACGTCGGGCAATCTGTGGTTTGTGTTGATTGCTACCGTGAAGGATGGTGGCCTTGGTTTCAAGATGATTTTGGGGGTGGACTGAGGTAGTGGAGCGTCCTATTTGGAGGTGACTTATGATGAATTTGTGGAGGTGAATTCGGCGATGAATTATTCGCCGAGGTAAATCGAGAGGCGGAGTTGGAGTTTGCCAAGGTGAATCTGTGGAAGTGAATCGAGTTGTATGCGATGGTTAGGTACGGTGGTAGTTTGCAGTGATGGTGTAACGACCCGACCTTGAGTCGGAGCCGTCATCATATCGTACGTACTGTCCGTTTTGGGAGAGTATATGCCCATCTTACTCCTCACGACTTTCTAACGCGTCCCCTAAGATTCAACTTAAGTCTTCCATACGATGAAGGTCTTGGTTCGAATTTTGGAGGACGCGTCAGAAAGCCTTGAGGGGTAAGATGGGCCTAGACTCTCCCAAAACGAACAGTACATACAATATGATGACGGCTCTGGTGCAAGGTTGGGTCGTTACAGATGGTGTGCCATGATATGTGAAACGTGATCATTGATGCTGGTGCTTTTTGTTGGATTTGTTGGTTTTTGGACTAGTTTTGTTTTTTCTTGCTTTGGTGTTGAGGTAGTTTTTGTTGGCGATAACAATGTCAGTGTCGGTGGTGGTGTTCTTGCAGTTGATGTTGGTGGCAGTTGTGGTGGTGGTGCGACGGCTACGACGAGGTGAGAAGAATAGAATTTGTGACCAACTATTTAAGTGTTTGTAACCAACTATTTGATTGATTTGTGATCAAGTATTGGTTGTGGATCGGGATCAGAGGTGGAAGTGAGGTGTTTGGCGTACGTGACCAACTATTTGATTAATTTGTAACCAACTATTTAGTTACTTGTGATCTATAAATTATATAATTTGTGACTGAAAAATAATTTGTAACTAACTAATTTGAAAATATACGACCGACGAATAAACTGTAACCTATGACCTTTTTGATTTGTATCTGCGAAATAATTTGTGATCAATTAACTTGATAATATGTGACTAATAAATAAGTTGTGAGCTATAAGTACGTAACTGTGAACATTGATTGTATAATTGTGACCTTAATATATTTAATTAATAAAATATATTTTAATTATTTATTTATCACCTGAGTTTTGAATTTTGAAGCATAAAACCTGAAAATTGAATAGATCATAGTTAATACCTGAATTGTGAATTTTTCGCATGGAAGAATCCGTGTAATTGATCGCCAATGCAAAGTAGTTGAGTTAAAAAGAAAACGGACTATAAGCCCGAATCTATCAGAGCCCGTTTAGTTGCGGCAGATTACCGTCAAACGAGCCCAACAACTATTTATCTTGTGTAGTCAAACCACGTGAAATCTATCTCTTCTTTTTCTCCGAAGAAAACGGTAGTAAGGTGGGCCCCTGAATTAGACCTTCCAAGCAGTGCAAGTGCATGCCGTTCACACAATAATGAAGACTAGTTTCATTTTGATTTCGCCACTCTTTATTTTATGAAAAGACAAATGATGGCTACCATTTCATAATTATTGAGAAAATTTCATTTTTGCAATATATACGAATTAACGTTTATCTAATTCTCATCCTTTTTCTCGTTTAAATAGTGTTCCAATAGAATACTTTAATTAGCTTTCACATATGTTCAAAATGTTATGTTCATAAACTCAAAATCAACGGTTGAATGACAACTGCATGATATTAAATGTTATATTCACTTAAGGGTGTATTCGATTGTAAACATGGAGTTTATTAATTAAATTATTATTTTTACCTAAAAATTGTTATATTCTTACATCTTTTATTGGTGAATAGATGAGAAAAAGTGAGGTGTAAGAGGGAGTGAATTGACCGGATGACCAATTTTTGAAAAATATTTTTCAGAGAAAAAATGTCAATTAAATATTATAAAAGTAGAAATTTTGGTGGAAAATGACATTTTTTATAAAAATAAAATCTATCAAACACAGCTTTTAAGTGTAAAGTTACATGATTCATTGAATCGAACAAATCTAATCACCTAGATTGATGCTCTGACACTCCTCATGTTAAATGGTATTAAGGTGCGATTGATTATCAATATTTTTCATGAAAAATATTTTTTTTCACCCAAATTCTTACTTTTGTGCTTTTTGATTGATTTTTTTCCATGAAAAATATTTTTCTACTTTTAATGACATTACTATATTTTCCTTGAAAATAAAGAATTTTTTTTAAGTAGTATTTTATTTTCAAGGTAATTCACACCCTCTCTTTCACTTACCGCCCTTTTTTTCTCATCTACCTATCAATAAAAGATGAATAAGTACACTACTTTTTATGTTTAAAATTAAACCATTCAAACATACTCTTACATTCTTTAAAAATGGTATAAGAAATGTCAAACTTGAAACCCCGTAATTTGAAAAAGAATTCCCACCTAACCTAATTAGACCGGACATTAATATATAAGGTTGTTGGACAAAACGTTACGACACTGATTGCGTCACGTCATTTGCTCTCTAGAATTCCAAACGCAAGTCGCCGTCAAAGGTCTTGGTCTTTCTTTTTTGTGACGTGATGACAGGGAAGAATATCCCCAGTTTTCCACATGCGACCCCACGTTGTAATAATCCTCAAAATATATACATCCACCGTCCGTTTCATATCATGATTTACATTCAGTATAAACTATGGCTCCATTCCTCCAAAATGAATTGCCTTTGAACGAGAACGATTCACAAGAAATGGTACTTCATGAAGTTCTTAACGAGGCCAGTGCCCTCAGAAGCCCAGTTTTGCCCCGAAGAAACGCCGTCCAGGTGGCTCATTCCATAAAAAAGAAGCACTATAGGGGCGTGAGGCGGCGTCCATGGGGAAAATACGCAGCAGAAATTCGTGACTCCACCCGACATGGTGCGCGTATATGGCTTGGAACTTTCGAAACTGCTGAAGAAGCTGCTTTGGCTTATGATAGTGCGGCGTTCAAGATGAGAGGGTCTAAAGCTCTCCTTAATTTTCCACCGGATATAGTAGTGGCTGCAGCATCAACTCTTAGAGTAGATGAACAGAATTTAAGGACAAACGGCTGTTCTTCAAGTTCGAATAGTGGATCCATTGATCATTCAACTGATGAAAAGGAAAGGGTTTCGATTACATAGAAGAAACTTTGTGCCTAAATCCTAATATTGAAATTATATTTTGTCGGATGTTTCTTTTCATGTTTCTGTCTGTCTCTGATCAGATTTGGTATATACCCTTTTCTTGTTCGAAGTGTTAAACAATCCAAAGAAAGAAAAAAAAAGGGGGGCTAATGTTTTATTGATTTTGCATAATGTAATTGAATAATGAAAATCTAGATACAAAGAGACTATATATATAGTCTAAAATAAAGGCAACTTAAAAGATTATTCTATACTTAATAAATAATAAAAACAAAATAATCGTATATTTTTTAACATCTCCCCTCAAACTCACGATGCAGAAACTACAAACATCGAGAGTTTGCCAATTAGAAAACGAAAAAGAGAAATAGAATGCGACTTGATAAGGAAATCTGCAAGCTGCAAAGAAGAAGAAACAAATGGCAAAGTAATTGTGCCATGCTTGAGATGAAGACGAATAAGGTGACAATCGATCTCAATGTGTTTAGTTCGTTCATAAAAAATCGAGTTGTGAGCAATTTGAATGGAACTCTGGTTATCACAATACGTAGGAGTGAGATGAGAAGGAAAAACTCTCATAT